CCCCAAAACCCCAAAACCCCAAAACCCCAAAACCCCAAAACCCCTGGTAGGACATTATGAATTGATGATATTTTAAGTTAACTTTATTTAATGGAAGGTAGGCTTCCATTATTGCAATCAGGGACTTTCTTAGAAATAATAGGAAAATTAGTAGGTCCCTTATTCTCGTTTCCTTGCGTGTTGATCATTCCTTCAGCCATGTTTCTGTTAGGATTCATGAAAGGTCTCCCATCTCCTTGAGGAGGAACGTTAAACTTACTGAACTTGCTAGAGAAGAATGAGTCTGTTTCAGCTGTTTCTACTTCATCCCGGTATTTAAAGGAAGCTTTTATTTTCAATATCATTTTGTTACTTAGTCTCTTTTCACCACCAAAGCCATTGCTAGAGCCATAACTGTTGTACATGTCGTACTCAGAGCGATGATCATTCATAGGCTTGGGAACCTGGATGCTGTTCATAATAGAATTTGGATCATTAGGCCTAAAAGACCCTGCAACCGTCTGTCTTATAGACTGAGACATCTTATTTTTATCATTCCTTTGACTAAGTTTAGCCTTAGCAAGGTTGATAATAGCACTATCGTTGTCGTCGATGTCCTTGTACCTGCTGTTCTTAGCATTACTGTGAGAGTACTCATTGCTCATAATCGCACTAGAACTTGATGGCATGAAGCTAGGAGAGTTCGCTCTTTCAATAGAAGGCATTTTAGTCAGCGACGGTGGGCTAGATGGGTTATTCTTGTTCTTCATTTTTTGTAAGATCCTTTTCTCAATATTTTTCAAATTCTTATCTAGTTTTATTGGGTTGCCCGAATTTTTCTTAGGAGAAAGTTTTATCTTCAGCCCTGGCTTCTTTATCGAGGAGTTAAAGGATGGATTCTGGTGGCTTATCATGCTACTCACGCGGGCATGCTTAGCTTCATCAAAATCCTGTTCATTATTTCTTGACTTGGGTTTGACTTCTGAATAATTTCTACGATCCTATTGTATATAAGGTTTATGTCTTTCGAAGAAAGAGATCATTGGGCTGTTAAGCATAAAAAGTGCCAAATTTTAAGGAACTTTATTGAGGATCTTATGATAACTGCAACTATTTGATAGCTTAAACTAGTGTAAAAAGATTGAGAATATTTATAATATTACCTTATGATCATGCTTGCGATTGCTATTATTTGGAAATCTGTCTCTCGTGGAGCATCTGATATCCTTTATCAAGGCCTTGTTTGAAGCTGTCCTCGTTGAATATTTTCTGGGTGTTTTGCTTGAACTTCTCGTAAATACTACCTCCTTCACTTTCTTTTCCGTGTGAGCTCATATTTTATTGGGATTAAGAGTTAATGTCAATAAATATTTATAGTTTTGGGGTTTTGGGGTTTTGGGGTTTTGGGGTTTTGGGG